GATATCGGGCCAGAAGTGATCGGCGAGAAGATAACGTTTCCCATCGAGGGTATCCTTGTAACGTCGTGGGATGTAGAAGTCGACCGAGGTAGGAAGAGCCGACATTTCCATTCACCGTTGAACATTCAATGCTTTCCTGGCTTGGTTGGCCGTTGGTGTCGTGGCAAGTGCTGCGTTTGACAGTTTGGCCTTGGCCAATTCCTCGTCGTAGATTTGACCGACGGCTGTTGTATCGACTTTGACACGAGCTTTGGCCTTGTTCATCATGTGACGAATCTTGATCTCCTCTAGCACGGGAGGATGGCAGTGGTTGTTCTTCTGCTTCATCAGCTCGCTTGTCTTCGAGTTCGTGTGAGCGGTGGCAGTACAGTGCTTGGATTGACACGCCCAATAGGTGTTTGTCTCCGTGGCCTTGCCGCTCTTCTGAAAGATATAGCCGTCGATAACGAGAAGAGGCTTGCCATTGTTACTGTTCACGAAGGAGTGAGTCGGTTGCGCGTTGATCATTGTGGATGAAGAGTGGAGAAAATGAGAAGAAAATAGAAAATAAGAGGACCAGATAGTTCAGTGTTGTAGAAGTGAGATTGATGTGAAATATGAATAATAGAGAGGAACCACAGTGTATTTATATATGCGTGCTAAGTTAACGATCAGCGGCGTGTTCAGCGCCATCGCACGTCTGTCTATACATAATAATAAAAGCGTAGAGCACAATGAAGTAGAATGATACGCGGTGGACGATGATCATGGTTGACGTAGACAACCATAAACATTTATGAAAGAATATTATCCTTCCTCTTTTGTTATAAGAATATTGAAGATTTTTCCAGATTTTTGTTTTCCGAATTTTTCATTTTCCGGATTTTTACTTTTCGGATTCCAGGACATATTCGCTAATAATAGTTTTCATTGTGTCAATTATTTTAGTTATAGACTAGACGAAGGAAAGTGAAAATTTGTTATACATATTACATAAGAAAGAACTACAGAGTGCTGTAATCGAAAATTTTTTAAAATGATAATAAAACACTTAAATGTTCCATTCACCGCTTTACGTTCATTAAATATTTCATTAAAGTATTTTTTGTAAATTAACAAGCTTTTTGAAAATATTTCTCTGATACGACAATGGCTGACGCAACCGGATAGAAGAAAGTTGATAATATCGGGATTTTCATAGATATGATATTATATTAGTAAAAATTCAGTTTTTCTCATCAAAGATGAATTACTTAGGAGTGTAAAAGATTGAGATTTATGGGAATGGAAGGTCTGCCCAAACCATATATGTGGAGCATATTTGAAAATTGGAAAAGATATGACTTTCTATAGATCGTTCAATATGTTGCTCATTAGTCTAGAAGATACCGAGTTCGACTACTCAGTGGAAATGCTTCCACTAAATGCGACGAAATAGTTTTTCAGATTAGATTACTTTATTATTTGAAATTTGAAAAGAATTTAATTAATATTAATTAGCTTTGAAAACTAATGAGGTCTGTCAGACATAATGACTGTCTCTGGAAACTATTTATGTGCATTTTCAGAACATAAACAGATTGGTATGCGAGACATACTAAGAAACCATATCTTTTGATTTCTATTTATAGATGAAAGCAAAAATCTGAAGCAGATCATTGGTGATTTAAACAATAATCTTAAAGCGAAAGAACTCGAGATCTCTGGACAACAAGCGTTATACGATACGAAGAAAATGAAAGCTGATGAATTGAGGAGAAATATAGAGATTCGAGAGAATGAACTTGGTAAACTTCGTGACGAGTTGAAAAATACGGAAGATGCTCTTACCGATACGAAGAACAGTCTCGAAAACTTGGCTGAAACAAAGAAACGGCTTGAGGACGATTTAAAAACTACAAGAGAACGGCAAAAAGAGGTTGGAAACGAACTTCGTCAGGTACACGCTCGAATATCAGAAGTGGATCACAAAGTAAAAACACTAGAACAGAAGCTTGATTTATTAAATGCCGAAGATATACGATATTATGCTAATATAAAGGAAATAGAACGGAAAATCGAAAAGAAGGAAGATGAAATCAAGAAAAAAAACACCTATATTACTGAAATCAATTCAAAATTGGATCAAAATCGTGTACTGGCAGAAAATGGGAAAGAAATTATTAAGAGATCCAATGAAATGATGCAGAACATTGACAACGAGCTAAAAGATTCAGAAGAAAAGATTCATGGCTATGAGAAGAAACATAATGACCTTCATGCAGAACTGATAAAACAAGAAGGTGCTCTGAACAATAACGAGAAAATCAAAAAAGAAAGCTATACGAAGCTCAACGAATTTCGAGATGAAATAATCAAGTGTAAAGAAGAGCATTATAACCAACAGAGGGATTATAGCAAAGAATCAATGGCTATTACACAACGACATCCCAAAGCGATCGAGATTGCAAATCAAATTAATCAATCTATCAGCAAGAAGAACACTGTATCGACAGGTTGAAAAGAAACTTACTTTATAGACATTTATGAACAAGAATTCTACGACTGATTTAAGTCACTAACACAGAAAACATATTTTAAAATTCGACCTCAAATACGATTACAACAAGAGATCGCAGTTTTACATTTATTATTTCTAATAGATATCCGAAAAAAATATCCCTCAACACTTTTTTCCGACAAGAAACTATTGCAAAATGACAACAAGATTGAATATGATTGAGATGTTCAGATACTCTCTACACCATGGATCATAAGAAGAAATTTACTAATTTACATACTTTCACGGTGAAATCATCAATTTTTTCTTCATACGAGATCAGATCTACCACTATGAACCTGAGACAATTGACAATAACCTTTATGATCGATCTTCATAGCATTATGACTACTTCTCATCCGTAAAAACACCGGCATATACGTGTATTCTAGGCGTCATACTTTTACTGAAATTTAACTTTCGTAACTAAACTTATCTTATTTGAAAAGTAACTACGTAAGTAACAGAGAACTAAATAGTTCAGATTAAATAATGACCGATCACGAGGTAACTCATAATTTACTAGTAAAGTCTTTATTAGTTATGAGTTACTTGTGACGTAAATATGGTGTCAACACTTGTCTCTTAGTCAAACTATGTCACATAAGTGATGAACTTCCTTCAATTTCTCAAAGACGTAAAACTTTATTTCGGATGCCATTTAACTAATTTTGAAAACTTCAGTAGTTTGAAAATATAAAATTCACATAATCTGCAAAAACTAACTGACTCAGCGAAATAACCGTTTAGATCTATCAAGATGCAGCATAACGATTCTCTTTTTTTCAGTTAATATCTATAAAATTCTTAGCGATTGTATTTCATATACACGAACGATACTCAAGATTTCTCAAATAGATTCGTGTGCACTAAGCGTGTAAAAATTCAAATTTCTTTCTACTAGAAACCGAGGAAGCACCTCAGACTCAGTTATAGGGCACCCAAAAAATCGTGTCTACTTAAGAAGTGCGTGTACTTCTTTTATAAATAAATCATTATATAATGATGATTTTTTTTTGTATTTGAAAGAGACGACTAGTACGTTTCTATTTATAAAGATAAAGTTTATAAAAGCTACTGAATAGTATTATTTTTAAATTCAATGCAAAAATTTAGATATTTCATAGTTTGTGAAAAAAACATCACGAAAAAGGTTCATTTTTCATGATCTCGATTTCATTCGTTATAATAATGTCTAACTCATCTAGATATACTATTGTTGTTCTTTTCAAGATTTAGTTTGAGATGTTTCCAAAATGTAAGTCAAGTTATGTAAGATCTAACGGTCCAGTAGTCAACCAACTGGTCCACCTTTTTATCCTCTTTGTCGTCGAAGATCTCTGAATGAAAAAGCGTCGTCATTTAAGTATCCGACGAAAGAAAGGATCATCTACTGAAATGTTGAATTCCTATAAGCATATTTTTCAAAATTGATTAGCACTTGACAAAATGAAGTTGTCGACGGCAAATGAAGCAGAAAAGATGAGCCAAGTTGGTGCACTCTTGGTCGTTAGATCTTATACAACTTGACTTACATTTTGGAAATATCTCAAACTAAATCTTGAAAAGAACAACAATAGTATATCTAGATGAGTTAGACATTATTATAACGAATGAAATCGAGATCATGAAAAATGAACCTTTTTCGTGATGTTTTTTTCACAAACTATGAAATATCTAAATTTTTGCATTGAATTTAAAAATAATACTATTCAGTAGCTTTTATAAACTTTATCTTTATAAATAGAAACGTACTAGTCGTCTCTTTCAAATACAAAAAAAAATCATCATCAGATAATGGTTTATTTATAAGAGAATTACACGCATTTCTTAAATGGACACGACTTTTGAGACACCCTGCAGGTGCTAGGATGAATAGACACTAAGGACATACCATTGCCTTTGCTCTATTTTCGCTTCAGGAGTAGAAAGTTGACGACAGCTTAGGAGGGCTAGTAGTATTGAAGATTAGTTTTGGTGTCAATTTCATCAAATATGATGATGAGTTCAAGTTGAAGTGTATCTCAAATGACTTAAAAGCGTCCTTCGTTCATTCAGCCTCTCATAGACAATGAGCGATAGGAGGAATGGGTTAATTTGCTATTTGCATCTCAAAGCGGGACAGAACTTCCAGTATGCTCTTCTATTTTACTCAGAAAGACAAAATAATTGGTCTCAATTAAACTTTTTAATTCAACAAATGAATCCACCATATTTTAAGGATTTCTGCCATTAAAATTGTATAGAAAGTTTTATACTTCTAGATTGATGTATTGATTATTAAATAGAAGTGGTATCTTGATCAATGACTGAGTCGAGCGAGAAAAGAAAAGGTAACTTATTTGTGCGAGGATCCAAGCGCCAAGAACAAGGTACTTTGTCAGAAGAAACAGATGCGAAAACGACCGAAATCGTCCAAAAGCTAATCTTGAATGTTCGAATGAAATACTCTTATGAAGAATTGGATCGATTTGTAGACGAAATGATGACACCGAGTGAATATCTTCCAATGAATTCCACCGGTCAAAAACTTTCAATACTTCAACAGTATGCGCTTGAATCAACACATGAACCGATCGATATGAGCAATCAAAAGGTACGCATCACTTATCGACCGAATCTATTCATCCGAAAGACCGATGCCTTTGGATCGTGGAATTTCAATTATTTGATCGATATACTGGAATTCGACTATCAATGCGACGATCATGGAACTAATGGATTTCCAGCTGTGTGGAAAACAACACCGGAGACCAATGTTCAAGTCAATAAGATTAAACCTAATGCTCAACCAACAGCATCATCGGCAGGAACCTCTAATGTAGATCTAAAAGCATCCGATCCACAACAAGATGATGTCACTTTGTTAGGACTTCTCAAGAGTATCTGTCTTCAAAATAAATGTGATGAAAGCGATGCAGAGATATGGATGGATGGCTTGAAAGGTAAACACAAATATTCACTATGGCTCTATTGAATCGAAAAATTTAACACATATTATAGCACATTTTACTGGAAGTCTTTGAAGTATAACTAAATTTCGGTTATTCATTATGAGTATCCTACATACATTAGGCTCATTATTATCCTCCGCTAAGAGCAAATATTTGCGAGCTGCTCCACATCGATCTGACTTGTCCAATGTGGTGACCCCTAGTGAATAACTTCAAGCCTAATGTGTCATTCTACCTATCGAAAATTGAGTGCAGAAATCATAGATATTTTAAAAAAATGATAGTGTAAATACTCTTTTCACGACGAACTTTCTCAAACTATAACCAGTATAATATTTGTCCTAGTTTTCTTCATTCTTCGAAGCCGATCTATAAGGCTCGTATCATTTTCCATCTAATAGCTCTTTAAGAACGTAAGCTTTAGTTGAATACAAGATCCCAATCAAAGTCAACAAGGCTAATTTATATGTCGAAGATGGTTGAGAGTTTTAGGTTCTAATCATTGAATCTATGTCCGCAACATACAATTATGACATGTTCATTTCTAACACAATCGGGAACTAGAACTGTCCTTATCTGAATAGAAACGAAGAATAAGTTTCGAACATCATAAAGCTCCATAGAATACAAATATTAAGGTAACTTTGTATTTGTTTGATACAAAACCTCAACATCTTAGATTTCTCCTGCAAGCCAACGTAGTTAAAACCCATGACTGTTTTAGTTATGAGTACAATACAGAATGAAAAGTAGGTAACCACAATAGATGATCTCCTTCTGAATTTTAGATAATGCTATGACTTTTATTTTTCGTTTGATGGATTATTGATGAGTTTAAACCAATCAGAAAAATATTAGATTTTGCATAATCTGTTGCTGATATAATATTGATCAAACTAAAAATATAAAGCATCGCGGGGACGGCTAGTGATCACATACGAACTTATAGGTCTAGCTCGGCTTGACATTTGCTGAAGAAATCTTTGATCTGACTGTTTCTTTGAAATATTTCGTTCAAGAATAGTTAAGCGTTGTCTATAGTTATGATACCGTGTCAACTACGACTTCAGAGTCATAGATAGATTTCTATCTAGGAGCAGTATTAGCAATCGTTGTGATGTTTCAATAATCTTTCACTTAATGAGTGTCTCGTCAATTACCTATCATTAATTAAAGATCGTCCAAAAAATAGTGTCCTCTACTCTAGTTTCGACTACTGTGTTCTTTAGATTTTCAACAATGTGCCACGAGTTATTTGAAAGAAATCTGACAAATACTCTGACAAAAAGTATGTTCATAACATTTTAGTAGTGGGGACCTGATGATGAGTCATAGGCTTCGATCGATTCAGTTATAGAAGAAACCCGAAATAGTTGTGTAAATATTGATTGTAATATTTCATTTTTTCAATCTACTTCAAAGAAATCTCTATTAAAACAAGTTGCGATCCATTCTTAATCAGTTCTTACCTAGGAATGGTACTAATCGATATATATCGAATTGTTACTTGCATAAAATACCACTTTAAATCGTTCTATTATAACTAGCCTTTATAAGACGAGTAAATTCTTTTACCATGAATCTGGTTTCACCTGAATGGTTAAGGGAAAAAACAGATATTGCGTATTGAAAAGAAATTATCAAAATCATGCTATGACATATAAAAAGTGGTCGTTCTTCAAACTATCATCTTCGTTTTCACAATCACAGTTTACAACCTTCATTTGAGTGTTTAAAATTGAGAAATTATTATCGATTTAAACAACATATGCATTGATACATATCCAAGAATGACTGAAATGAGTTTTCCCTGGAAGAATTTTGCAAAACACATTAGAGTAAGACTATCTGAAAACCGTTTATTTGTATTATAAAGACCACTCCCACGACAGCAAAATCTTAGGTTGTATCGATTGGTATTAGCTTCAAGATGAACGAATCTATCAATGTTAGACAATCCTAGTCGTAAATGGCTATTTTTTATCGTATTGTAAATGAGTGCAAACGATCGAAAACTCGGTTTTCAGACCGTTCACGGCTGCCATAATCACTGTCCTGGGAATGAGAAAAAGTGGATGAGACCGTATTGCACCAGAATACTTTTTGAAACATCCCGTTGTATGCGATATCAGATATAGAATTGAGTTCGTTCGTAACAATTTCCTCAAATTTATTGAGTTTTTTGATGCATCAAGCTCATGGTGTAGATCTATGAACAAACAAAATTCTGAAGAAGCAAAATCAGATCATTATATAGGGATGATTCATTGTTTTGATCTCTGTGAAACACCATCTGAAAGAAATTATAAACTATGTAGAGTAGAAATCTGGATATAGACTCTTTCTCTCATAACAAACCGAGACAGATGGTCGACAGAGACCAATGTAGAAGATGACATACGATTCCTACAGTCTATGATACAACTTATATTACTGAAGCGTTTTTAGTATTTACTAATTATTTCATTACAGCTCAGCTGAATAGTTCCAAAAGGATTGCATAAAAAATATTTTTACATACTACTTATAAGGATGATAAACAGTTGTTATGGCACTCGATAAATTATCATCGAATCACTAGTTCTCAAGACAATGATATGTATCATTTTGTCTTCATGTCATGACAGTTTGATGAAAATAAGAAAATTTTCTCCATTCCCTACCCCATGAGACCGATTATTTTCTTTGAACCAATTTAATAATAGTCACTGCGAACCTCGTCATAAGTTAGAATTGCATGTAATTTCAGAAGCTACTCAATCCAGTGGTTAGTAGTTTAGTATTTGCATGGAGTGCAGATTTAGTTGAATACCAATACTTACTACAAAAACATTGACGTGTCATCACTGAAGAATTGCATTGATTTTTCACTCAAAACCTTTTATTAGTAATTTTCTCAATGGAATATTTATACAAAATCTTTCCATCTGTGGAATCTAAAGAATCTTAGGTTTAGAGGAAGATTTTAGTATAGACCGAACTGTGATCGATAAGGTTTTCCATTGGTCTACATAGTATCTTTTCGAGTATGTCCATTGACATGTTCTTGGTGGGATATAGGTATTCATGTCTACTCGCACCTCGAATTTCAAACTGAATAAGTCTTATAATTACTGCTATGAAACATCCGCGCTTTGTAAAAAATATTCCCAATAATCAGCAGTGTCCCAGAACGGCAAAAGTTCAGAAGTACGATGATTTTTTGAAAATGCTTTTGCAAAATTGAAAATATTCTCGAGAATTCCTACAAACATTTCGTAAATTTTCGAGTAGAAAAAAAACAAAATTTCCAAATATTGGGAGGAAGAGAATATGACACTCCTTCGTGCTCAACACATCTGTGCTAACCTCATTTAAGAATCTTTTCTAATGCCTGTAATGAAGGGAGAGTGAGTTAACAGTTCTTAATGTCTGTCTTTAATGGTGTAGAACTTTATTTTCTCGAGCAATTAGAGATAAAACAATAGATGAACGATATCTTAACTGGCTTAGTTGGTAGTTAGTATATTAATGAACTCAGTAATGTTCGTAATGGGAGGGAAGAAACCGCAAAAATCTTGCTCTCAAACTTACACTCACTATTTTCTTCACAAATATAAGTAAGTTTCACGAAACAGAGAACATAAGTTTGTATAATTTTAGAGAATTTTATAAAAGCATACTAGTATGTAAACGAAGTTTTGATTAGTCTCAATTCCTGGGGCAGGATTTCTAGACAATAAAGTGCCTAAAAGGATGCTGCTTCCGAAGTCTTCTATGATCATTATTGCTTCCACATTTTGAGTCATTTCTCTTATAGCCGAGAATATCTGTACGATTCAACATCTTCGCACTGTGGCCGCAGATGACAGCTGTTGGGATAAATTGTCATCTGTAAAATATTTTGTAAAACAAATGATCCGTGATTATCTTCAATTAAATTACTCATCAACTGCATTCAATACGACGAAAGATCCGTATGCAGATTCAAAGGCCACTTTGTATGGTGATATACATCGAGTACGACGGTATTTTCACTTTGTTACAAAGACACTTGACTACATACCTTATCTCGATCGACAAGCTGTCGATTTATCCATAAAAGAAATCCGAAGAACATACGACGATGATGGCAATGTTCTTAGCAACATTCATGGATATTTGAGAACATTCTGTATGAAAAATACTGTTTTTAGTGCTCGTGAAAACGAACAACAACGTGTAAATTGGGCTGCGGAACTTGAAGATAAACAAAAAGCAGCTAGTGAATTGCGCGAGAAACTACCAACGTTGGACAAAAAATGTCAAGAACTTCAGAAATATATTGAATTGCTTCAGTTACGCCTAGTTAATATCAATATACAAATAAAGGACTTGGCTTTGTCCTCGACCTTGGCTTCGACAAGGAAACTCACAAATCTGCGCACAGAAAAGGCAGAAGTAGAAGAGGACATGAAAAAGAAAGAAGAACAACTTAGTGAAGCTGATCTTCTGTATATGAAAACATCAGGAAAACTCATAGAACATGAGGCACGGATTAAAGATCTTGAAGGTTTTCTTAAATTGGATCTTGCGGATGAACAGCGGAAGTTGAAAATCAAATTTGGCAGAGGACTGCTACTTTATGGACCACCGGGTACAGGTAAGTGTTGTATCACACGAAATTCCTAAGGGTATATACGAATGGTTCAGAAAATTTAAACGATTGATTGTAAGAGCAGCATATAGGTCAAGTTGATCTTCTGCTCACAATAGATTTAATCCATAGTTATCCGACGGTTGGATCTTTTATTCAAACTTATACGTGCTTTATTTTATCATCGAAAGTCATAGTCAATAGTGATTTTCAAGAAGTACTTATTAAATAGTTATGACTAGTGAAAGTTACAATTTTTTTTTAAATCTCTCTTTCTTTCAAAATGTACTGAGCTATTAAGGTTGTAATTAATTTCCTTTTTTTCAATTTTGGTATCTCTTTGTGTCAGAATTTGTAACTTATATCAATGACACTTCTCTCAGAAGTATCGAGAACTATGAGCAAATTTCAAATCACATTATTTAAACTTAATCTCAATTGAATCTAAGAGAAATACGTACGTGATATACACATCATGCAAGATCTCATTAGAGACTGTCTTACCATTACAAATATCATAGATTACACAAAAAACCAAACAATATTTTGACTTGATGTCGTTCTTGGAATCTCTTAAATGCTTGAATTATCCAAATCCAATGTCACAGGCGTCAAAAATACATTAATTACATATGAATCCGTCTGAATCTGAAAGGATTTCGATTAAAAAAAAACATTTGGTACCATAAAAATAAAGAATGACTTGAGTAGAACTTGCAAAAAGAGAAGTTTTTCCCAGTGTATTTGAAAGCTCGTAAAAAGAAATATTTCCTGCATGTAATCCATGGTTCCTTCATTTTCTTATCGACATTTTCAAAATTAATATTTTTTTAACTTCCACTTATGAGAGAGAAAGATGTGATACGTTTTCATGACTTTCCTCTAGATTGAATTCCTTATAGACAGATTTTTTGGTTAAACATATACTTGGAAGAATATTGACCAACTACAGTGATAGATGACGAATCTGTGCGGAAAAAAGCTGACACTCGAAGCACGCTTGTACTAGTGAAGATCTTTCATCACAGTTCCTATAGCAATTGTATTTGAAGCATGACAGATCCAGTTTAATACACACACTAAAAACTTCAACATAGTGATCGCAGTATCGACGATAAAACTAGATGTTTAGCATACCAAAAAGGATTGCCAATATCTATAGAACGAATCTCAATACGTACTTCAATGCCCATGAGAATGGTGTCTCATAACAAGAGAATCACTATTTCCGTAGAACACTCGACGATTTATCAGACTGATCCCTTTTTAATGGCTAGTTTGCAATTCTATTTAGCAGCAGTTTCACTCTAAGAGTGTCGAATATTCATATGTGATCTCAAAACTTAAGATTTCTTTAAATTGCTATGTCATTAATTCAACAATCGTAGGTAACAATAGACTTTTCAGAACTCTAACATCATGGAATTCATCCATTATCAAGACAATTGATTTTTCTCTTCACTGATTCAGAAACATCAATATGTTTTCTAATCAAATATACTTCTTGATGCTAGTTGCAGACCATACACATCCAATGTCAATCATGCTTACTCATACGCGCTAATATCTAAACCTGTCATCATGTATACGTACATTGAAACCCACCCATACTAACAGACATGAGTATTCCGAAAATTTCTGAAACTTGGAATTCTACGATTCTTTACTATTTGTCAGTGCCTGAGTTCTTTAGTTGGACATAGTCTACAATTTTAATGAAAACTTTAGAGTCGTGAAATCAGATCATATCCGATACCATCAATCAAGAGATGAGTTAGTTTGCTATTGCTAGACGTGGTGTTGGGTTGGGCTCTTCAGTTTTGCTACGGACTGATGACTGGTTTGGGTCAATTAAACTGATGTGATTAACCTATTTCATCAATGTTTTTCAAGCTAAAAAGTACTTTTTGGCATGCAATTCTTTCTGGGAAAAACTTTTTCGAGACAAAAATTTAGTGTGGACATCAAAATAGCATATTTGTGTTGTTTCAGGCATCATGCTGTATTTTTACTGCCCATTCATTGCGTCTTATTTCTTTGATAGAAGTGTACTTCGTTTGATTTTTTGAAATTCAATGAAACCCGCATTACTTGTATGAAAATGATCTAATAATTATTTTTTTTCAGGATGAGATTTGGATTATAATCGTCTTCTAGAAACAGGCGGTAGGATGATCTGTCTAGATTTAATGAGAAGATTCAATCTCTAAAATGCAGCAATAAAGCGGATGCATGAACAATTGTTCTATGCGCCTAGATAAAATACTAAATTTCGATGCAGCATTGAATGTTGATAGCTTGAACGACAGCATTTGGATAAAAAAAATAAGTTTGAGCAGCATATTTATTATGAATCTTGATTAAAGTGTCAGGGTATGAGTTTCATTCGAAATTGCTCGCAAGTGACTTTGCTAGACGATTGTTGCTAAATTTGACATTTTTGCTGCATCCTAATGTAATCACATGAAAGCTATTGTTAGGCATACAGCAAATCCAAACGGTTTGAGTTTGGTGAGTTTGAGTATTGAGTTTGGGTTTGGTCTAATGAGTTTGGATTTGGGTGTGGATATTGTTTTGGGGTTTCAGTTTGTTACATTAACTCAGTGACTTACTGGAGTTAAAATGTAATGCCATTGTGTCAAGTCTCTTCTCTATGTCAGACTATTTATTCTGTGTAAATATAAGCATAATCACATTTCTATGCTTCACATCGTTCAACAGGAGTTAAAGTTCCTCCCCATTCCGAAAGGATAGCTTGAGGGATGGATATTTTTGATCAATTCGTCTATGATCTAATTGATGGAGAAGTGATTATTTCATGCTCTGTCTTTGTCAAATATTGGTTTTTAGTGAGAAGAACCCAAGATTGAACATCATTCCTCTCGAAACTGCATTGATAGATCAAGGAGAAGAGCAAGTTGCCAGTAAGATGTAATTAATTAATCGGGTTTTTTTTTCTATCGACTTGTCAGAATTTATCGAGGCCTTTTCTTTCTATTGTTACGAAGACACGTAAAGTTGAACGAGACGGTTTTAAAGTTTTCAGCGATCCTATTTTACATGACTTAAATCCCACCATGTTTCTTTTAATAATAAAAACAATGACTTCTTCAAACGAATTAAATTTCGACAACTTCGATTCTTTTATTACGAGAAAAAAAATGGTTCTGTTTGAGCTAGTGTAGAGGTTATTCGACGTTTTCATATATATGTTAACGATGAAACTAATACGTTTGCTTAGACTACCTCTTTTTAGAGAGATAGCAGAACCGCTCAAGCTCATGAACATGAGCGTTACAGTCCATGTGTAAGTTTAATTTTTAGCTGATTGACTCTAAATGAGAGTTGAGAGTGTAACTTCATCACTCTCACCGTCCGAAATTACCAGATATGAAAAACACTTTTTGAAACTAATAAATACTCGGAGAATTTTTTCTCGAGCTTTTTCAGAAGATTCGTGGTGAAAGCACTTCTAATACTTGTAAGTCCTCCGTAGCTTATCCTGTGAAAATTCCTAATTACATCAGAAAAAAATGGCAGTTTAGAAATAAGATCAAACAATTTGGTTCCATAAGTATAGGTTTTTATTGAAGATTTCTTCAATTGATCATCATATCTTATTTAATAGAGAAGTTTTCTAACTATTTCATCCGCTAAACTTACATTGTAGGTAAATCCGAACTTTTAAAACGAGCTGCAGTGTTTGCTGGTATTACTACAACAACAACTCCATTAGCTGCTGGTGAACTTAATCGGCCTCATGTTGGTGAAACAGAAAAGTTACTTGTTGATATCATGTATCGTTCAAATCCTATATCCTATCTGATTTGTGCGATGATAATCGATGAGATCGATGGGCTTGTTCCTAAACGAGATAATAATGCTCAACAATCCAAAGTAGACGGTATTAGTGTTCTTCTTTCACATATTGAAGGTGTGAAAAATATTCCAAATTTGATTGTACTTGGTGCTACGAATCGTCGAAATATGATGGATGAAGCTTTTTTGCGTCGTATGCAAGCGAAATGTTTTGTTGGTCGACCATCGCCGAAAATTCGAGAAAAAATGCTCCAACCATTAATAGTGAAAGATCTGCATACGTTCACGAGACGCCGCATAGATTTTCTTGTCAAGATAACGACAAACTTTAGTGGTGCTGCTGTGGGTGCCCTAAAATCGAGTATTATTGTTGCCTTGGATCAAGGTCAAACACTAAATCGGGATGCTAAAAGCAGTTTACAGACTTCACAAGCCCAAACGAGCCCACCGAATCTTCAATCGACGCTCGCGACTAGCGTTCCTTCCGTTGAATCGAGTGCAATTAGTAATTATGAACTACTTATACTAGCCGACGGTGCAGCACGTGAATTTAGCTGTTGGTTCGGTATCGGAACGCTGCCCGGTATCTTTCGGCTTTATCCGAATATGTGTTCGAGCTCTGATCAAGAAAAATACTCACTTGCATTGCCTAATCATGTCCCATCTGGTCGAATTCTTGTCAATTTAAACGAACAGAAATGTATTGTTGAACTAGCCGGAGACGATTTGTCGCTTGAATACGAATTAGAAAAACAAGAAACATGTACATTAACACTTCTGTCCCGTTTTATTAATGGATGCTCGAGTCGAAATATTGATACAATACAGATAATTGATTTGAATTTTCTCACAAAGAATAATGCATTTGAAGAGAATCAAATCTTTGAATTATTGACGACAACATTTCTCGGTAAGTATGAAAACTGAATTCTCACTTTTTTAGATCAGCATCAAATGGCGTGGCTCGACAGAATTTATTTTTCGAACCGTTCTAGCAGTAGAATACATTCAAACTCACTCTGCGAGCTGTATAACTTTCGAATGATATTAATAGATAAAGCTCAAAAGTTTCCTTTCAAGGAATTCTGCTTATCATCATTTTTATATTAGAACCCGTAGTAAAATAAATAAATACCTTTCTGTTAGATATAATCTCACTTGGACGCTATTCACCAAGAGATAACTAAGAATGCATACTAAAGAGACTTTCTCATGATTATGGCCAACCATACATAAACTTGTCTGACTTTGAATTCTGTCGTCGTTTCTCAGAGTAAAAAGGTAAAGTTCCACACTTGAATTTTCACCGTGATTAAAGATCATAGAATTTGAAAGCCAATGAATTCGTGTATGGTTCAGTATTATCTTCGTAAGGTCTAATCAGCATGAAATATTAAAAGCGTATTAAAATTTCAGCAAAACTGAATAAGATCGTATCTTACTAGTACCCGTTTTTGAACCAGCCATGTTTCGTCAATGATTCAATCAATACAGTGAATACTTTCAGGACACCGAGATATCAAAATTTGCCATTCGTAGGACAAGTTTCAGCCAGAAATGTTGAAACGTAGAGACCCAGGAAAGTTTACTGATTTATTTTACATAACTAGAAAAAAAAATATATATATATATGCATAGAATAGATCTGATGTTCTTAGCCAACAATGAACTCATTGTTTTATGTCATGCCAACAAGTTTGAGAACTTATATATGTAAATATTAATGTTCAGTATCAAATCGGTTGTACGATCATTCCATTATTAGACTGTCGTTTAAATAACACGATCTGTCCATAGATGTTTTAAAATACGTTTTCAAAGAGATTTGACTATGTAATAATGCTGTGTGAATGAATTCCTCATAGAATAAAATGTTTAGTCAGATAACTTAAGAATATTATTTAACTAAGTTTGAAGTGCGTTAAATTTTAGCATAAAACTTGTTGATGTGTTAACAGTCTATATATGACTATGAGAAATTTTCCATTATGTTGATAATAATATTGAATGGAAAACTATCAATATTGGATCATTACGAATACAAAAGGTTAATTTTCTCTAGAAAACGAGTTCCAGAGTCAAAATGAATGAATAACTCGTTTCTTGTTGATTTCAATAATAAACCGGAGAAAACATGAACAACGATAAGGAGAGTATGGCTTAAAACGAAGCAAGAACATAAAGACACATTCTTATCCACGTATGAGAACAAGATACTTCATGCAGAAGTATATGAATATGCATCAGATATCTTCTAATAAGGTCACCACGAATGATTACGGATAGAATCCTTCATACACACCTATCGAAAAGCATCATTCTATTTGAGCAATGATCTAAAAATGTTATGATTCGATCATTGGCTTAATCATATCGATCGGATTCATATGAAACGAATCTAAAATTTATTGGATTGATTTGAAAGTTTCTAGAATGGCATAAACCAATGCAACCTACATAAGGTAAGAATTTCATATGGATCAGACATTCACTTCTGGACACACTGAATCACCCAAATAATTGTTCTTAGATGTGAATTGCGCAGTGCAATTTAACTTGCCCATAGATCTTGGATATATCTTTTCATGAGAAAAATATTAGCTTCTTTTGCTTTTGTACTCGTCTAGGACATTGCCATCAAAATCAACTAAAAACAAAATTGCAGATATTGGTTGAAAGAAAGGCATAGGACTATGAGATGAGTTAGAGAGAGAATATTTGACTCCAAACGAGCTAGCTTTCATTTAAAATTCAGTTTCAAGATGAATCTCAAACGTTTAGAAAATGCCTAGAGTAAGGGTCGTCATTTCCTAATACGAATCCACGCCCTGAAAGAATCGTCGTTCATAACGTTAATGACCTTACGCTTGGTTCTACACTTATAGATTCTGACTATGTTTATTAACTGTACCAGCGGCATGCCGAGTTTTATTTTCGTTCCATCAGAGTTTTCAAAGGTGAGCTAATTCAAATATGAGATTACATTTGCAAAAGAGATTGATAAATATTTTGACTGCTATTTTGATTATTGTCTGTCGTTAAGATTAAGTTATGCTATATCCATTCAATCTAGACCTCAGTCGTGTTTAAAAAACAAAAAAATAAAAAACACATTTTATTTTAGAATGCGAGGAATATAATCGTTCGATGCTCATTTTCGACATTGACTCTCTTATTATGCTTAATATATCCGATTCAAACATGTCGCAATCAACATCGATCTCCAACATTCGTTTGTATCAATACATTCGAGAGAAATGCAAGACGGCGGTCGTCGAAACAAAACCAGCAGAGAATACCGTGAGTATATGGTACTAAACAAAAACTAATATTTTTTTTTCTCATAGAATAATTCTATGTTCATGCAATCCTTATGTTCTAGTCGGCGATCGTTGATCAACCGAAAGAAAAATGGATGGTTATCATTGTAAAGCATCCATTTTTGCGCAATCTACTTGTCGATGATATCGATTTTAAGAAGAGTCAAAAACAAGAAGATCGAAACCGTGCGGCGAGAAATAAGCAGAAAGACGAGGATTCTGTAAAAAAATGTCCAAAATGCAGACAAAATTACATTCCATCCAAGACAAGCCATGGATATTGTCATTATCATGACGGATTCGTTTGGGATCTTCATCATGGTGTCAAATTGACAGTAGAGCAAGCCCAAGAAAAAACTCAAAAAGCTAAGTTAGATGCAGCCAACGCCCCTAGTGGTCAAACCGTACGATTACCAAAATTAATATGGGCATGTTGCTTGGGCTTGTACGGCAGCGATCCACCGTGCCAAGTGGGTAGCTGCGGCTTACCTGAACAAATTAACCCAGAAAATATCAGACCAGGAGAAGATTATGTAGAACTCGTTCGACAACTATTCATGAACAATCAACAGGCTCAAGCAAGACTAGATGCTTTTCTTAGCGGAAATTCAGCACAATGCACCACCAGACAGACTAACTCAAATAATCGTTCATAAAAAATTTTTCTACACAGAGAGATTGAATGTTAGTTTTTTTCTTTATTCTATCTACTTTTTATTCACGAAACAAGATTTAAACTTGGTCGAGTCAACGGAAATAAATTTGTTTCTCTCCTTCTTGTCGATCGAGATTAAATACATATGATGACAAACTTTAAGACGAGTAATAATGGAGAGTGTTTCGATGTTGAACATTACGAACTAGAGGTTTTCATGGTCGAATCAGTCAAAGATTGCTGTAAATGGGGCTGATCATAACAAATAAAATTTACTTTTCATTCTGTAAACTGCTTTTCCGATGGTCCTCAGCTCACTTAGTAGGATTCATTTCGGTCAGAAAAAAAGATCCTGAAGATCTATACTCCGATAACCTTCTTAAATCATATATACTTCAATCGCTTTTTCGAAAATATATCACAGTACCCCCAAATTCAAATTCATTTTGTAATCTGTTCTATTCAATATATCATTAAGAAAATCGAGTTTTTCTTGATACAGAACATGATCTTCAAGCTAAATATTGAACTTCATCATTTGGAATCAGCTTGATTCAGAGGTTTATTTGTGTCAAATTTCATCTCAGAGATCAAAAGTTTTCTTGTAGTTGACCAGAGAGAAACTATGAGATTATGTTGAAAAATTAAGTCGAATTTTTGCCTTCGACAAACTTTTACCGGTGCGTCTTCTAATTAGTATCTTTCATTTGACACGAGCAAATAAATGACTGCAGAACAATCGAGAAAATGTTCACAAGGTTTCACTAAACCTTTTTGTGAGATTAAGAAATGTGAATCCGAGCATCGGATTTCCCGTAATTTTAAAGTTCTTTCTCGTTAGTCTTTGTCTTACTGATGCTGTATCTTCGCTGTATGGCTGAATTAGAAATGATAAAAGTTGTTATTTAGCTAATCTATCTTTGCCAAAGGCAAAATAAGAGTGCTGGGTGTAGGTGTGGGTGTGAGTGTGAATGTAACAGGAGAAATGAACTGTGATCGCATCCACACACCAACACCCGTTGGTTCAAAAAATGATAAATGATTCGATCCTAATTGAACCCTGTCAGGATCTAGAAATTCCGCGACTATACGCTTCTTTCAAGATTTATGAGTCTCATGAAAAGCTCCTGGTTCGAAACTAGTGCTGAAGCATTCTGGATCCCTATTGAATACTGATTTAAATCCTGTCAGAATCGTGAAATTCCGTGAGCACATACTTCTTTCAGGATAGTTGTTTCCTCAAGAAAAAAACCAGTAAAACCTGTAACGGTCCGTATTGACTTCATTAGAGATTAATAAAGGAAATATTAAGGATTTCAATTTAGAACACAACTGCGGTTTGCTATTTAAAAAAAACTATCGTTTTTGGTGAATTTCACCTACATTCATTTCTAGTGAACACATTTTAATGCATGTAAAACCGGATAAAACGGTTTTCGGGAACGCTAATTTTTAGTTTTGTTCCAATTTCCGTGTTCTCGGCACACAAATAACCATGGGAAACGGGACGGAAAAATACAGAAAAAAGTCGTTCCCGCAGGACTCTAGGGTGTGGGTGTGGATGTGGATGCGAATGTTTTTTCCACAAACCCACACCTACACCCGTATTAAGTTCAAATAAGATTTCAAAATAAACTTTATATGATATTTTCATAGATATTTTCAAAAATGGTAGGTTAATGTATTGCAGTTGTAAGTAATCACTCTGTACAACTGTTATTTACAAGGTTATATGAAATAAAAGTTCAATGAATATGGAATAAAACTATAAAAACCTCATGTAAATCACTTGAATGGTTAAAGAGATATTTACATTTATTTGTCGATTGGACTTTTGGAACATACTGTATACGTATTTCGAATTTTATTAATGTTGATCATCCACTAATATGTACCACTCTCTTTTGTTAAATAATGTTATTTTGTTTTTCGATTTGATTATTATAGCGCCGTTAATATCTCGTTTCTATTGAATTCTATTGAAATATAGGTGAATTTGTCGAACTCGATCGAGATCAATAATTGATGGTACTGTAATTTGATAATGAAATTGACGAAGATAAGTTAAACGATTTGCAACAGTAACCCGCGATGCAAAAGTATCCGTACAAACGTCTGAGGCTATTGTGCAGCGAGAATGAATCATAGAAATCGAACTAACATGTCTTCCGATAGAGTGAACATTTTAGTCAAGATAATGTCCATCGAGATATATATGTATATGTTTATGTTGTATATCTTTGTTTGATTTCTAGTTATTATTGATTGTTTTGAAATAAATTGGAAGTTAAGGTTACAAGTAATATCTTTACAAGTCGAAAATTTCTATTTATAGAAAATTATATTAAACTGTAGAAAGTTAATTTTATAATCTTTTAAAGATTTGTCAAATATCGACTATTTTTAATGATGTTATTTTTCTATGGATATTTAAAAACATTTTGAACCTACAGAGAATTGTTAGGCATAGTGCATGTTGATTTGTCTATGTCAATCAATAGCTCTTGACTTGAACGATACTCATTTTCATTCAGAGTTTTTAGCTATTTTTGTATTCTCAGATTAAATTTTATGATCGATTGACTTATTTTTATTATACTCTTGACCTAAAAATATAACTTTCTTTGTTTCATAACAATTGAAATTTAATTGTTAATTCATGTTCAACATCAATATGAGTTGTTATTTATATTTCTTCTTATCAATACTCATAAATAATTGAACTTCATAAATTGTATGACATATTGATAGATTTGAGGTATGAGAGTTAGTATATGAGTATGTCTGAAGAGAAGATCTACAGGCGGGTGTGTGGGTGGGTGTGGGTGTGGGTGTCTAAAGTTTTTGTTTAAACCCACACCCACACCCCAATATCTATTTTATTATCTTCTTTGCTTATTTTTCCACTATATTTTATTTGTTCTCTTAAATCACCGAAATCATTTTCAATATAAAATTGACGATGCCAATGACATTCAGCATATTTGTCAAGGGTAACAGATTTTCCATCAGCTAAACGTTGTGGATTAGCAGCTGATAGATCAGATGGAAATTTATCAAATGAAACTGACCAACGAGATTCGATGGATGCATGTGCTTGATATTTCTCATTTAATGTATCGATTTCACCTAGATTATTAATAAATAACGATTGTTTGTGATGTTTTTCTAATCACTTATCTATTCGAAGAAACACAAAACGAATATGAACTATAATTACTTTGTCCGCTTGTGTTGATGATAAATCTGTCAGTGTTTGTAATTTGAAATAGTGTCCAAATAAAAGTCAAATGCACTTCGATAGTTTATAAATTTTATCAAACCTGATAGACCTTTGCTAATTGTTGACATCGTAAACATGTCTGAATATTTGTTTGTGATTGTATATTACTAAGAATCTATAAATCTTTCAATGATTTTTTAAAGAAACTGAGTACAAAGAGAAAGATTTGTATGCTATAATAAAAAAAACAATATGTTTTCAAATTGAGGATGAGGCGAAAACATAGAATGCGTTGTGCACTCGTATTTGCGCAGCCCTAATTTCTTAGTGAGTAATAATTGGACAAAAACAATATTGACGAAAAAACTTAATGAATAAAATTTCACTAGTTCAGTTGCGTAGATATGTGTGGAGTAAAAAGCAAAAACCTATCATTCTAATGATAAAGTTTCTTTTTGATTTACTCCGCATTCATGTGTTGAAAAATAAATAAACAAAAGACTCCGTTCTTCTCTTATCTTTCGTTCGTTATGAAAGATAAAACACAGCGAATATCACCTTATTCTGTAAGTTCAACAAGTAAAATGAGATAGATAAAGTCCACTCATGAAATACGCCTCTTCAAGATTAGGGGTGGGAAGTTACCGTTACCGTTCCCGGGTAACGGTCTGGGAACGGTAACTTCCCACCTCTATCCAAGATAAACGATATGAATAGATATAGAAGAAAAATAAAAGATGATAGCAAGTATGAACAAACGTGTTTTATTTCCATATTGTGAGAAAATTTGATTTTGCAGATGAGAGTCTGCCCATGTATACCTAATAAAGAAAAGTGACGAATAATCTGTTTCTCTCGAAAGAATTAATACTTCAAAAAGAAAACGATTTCTTTTTTTGTTATTGTATCATAAATTAGTTGGATGGCTAAGTTTGCATGTGTTGCCAAGTAGAGGAAAAGAATGATATCAACAACAAAAAAAAAATCATATTCGTTTGCGTTCTCATTTAAATAAAACATATATAAGGGGTGAGAGTAAAAGATTAAGGCATAGTATAGAACACATTTCTTTTCATTCTTCTTCTTAAAACGTGTTACAAAATATTCTGCACAAAATGTCCTCTTTAACCTATATTTTCTATGTGCTATGTCTATTAATTGCTTTTGTCTGTCTGTCGTTCGCACAGACTCCTCAATGTAGAAGTTGTTGTAATGGAGGTAGTTGTACTGCAGCACACAATGGACACACCGGTATGTAGGAATTTAAAGTTTTTGAAGATTATTCCACCACTTTTATTCATTAAGGGCGGTGTTGTAGTACAGCTTTTGATTCATGGTGCTGTGCGTGTAAGTGCAATTGAGAGAATAAGTGCAGAGATTAACAATACTCATTTTTATTTTTCTACTATATAGGGACTGATTCATGTGTTTTTTCTACTCGAAGCTGTACACCTAGTGCACGTCGGTGGGGAGCCTTGGCGCTGGGTGGATTGATTGGTGTCATTATTGGAAGCGTCTTTGGGTGCTGTTTACTAGTGGCATTGCTTGTCTGGATATGTAAAAAAATATTTTGATAACTGACATAAAGAAAGCTATATATCTGACTCCTTATAATTATGCGATGTTATTACAAGACGACAACAATGGTCTTGTACCTCTTAATCTAGCTGAACTTTTTTATTTTATAATTTGTAAAAGTTTCATTGTGTTTATAAATAAAGGATTGTTTGGTTTCAAGAAGTGAGTTGAAACTGAATTTTTAGATTTTATCCAAATGCTGGCCGTTGAAGATCAAATTGAATAAAGATCCAATAAATAAATAGCATTTCATTTGCTCCTGTATGAAAACAGATTAAATCGCACGAGCCCCCTTCTACGAAAGTGATTGTATTATGCTACGACAAATAACAAATTCAAATATATGTCATTGTCTTTTCTTTCTTTCTGTTTGTTTGCACTCTCTTCTGGATCCTTATCAGATCATAGTGTTATTTTGCCTTTTGTGTATCCTCTCTTCTCTTTCCTCTTGCGACATTTTTTCAACGACAGTAGTGGTCAAAACTATATGAATAGATTATTTTTTAATTCAATTTTTTTCTACTTACAATAATTTGTGTGTTGAAACTTATGCATTTCAGTGTGGTCTGTACCAAAGACATTACAAAACAAAATCATATCGTCACAGCGTCGACAGTAGCATATTCTCGAGAATTTTGTTATAATCTAACTTGATCCAACTATCAGTGAATCTGATGCAAACTTTCAACACTCGATAAATCAACTTCGACCCATTACTAATTTGATCAAAACGTTTGTTCACATTGATCTCTATCGATTTTCTTGCGAATATTGAAAGCGAAAAAGCGTTTTTTATTGTATGTGATGTTCTTGATCAACAACTCGTGCCTCTCATCCAGTATATATCGCAACTATACGCAATCTATGTATTGTGTAATGACAAGATGCCACATGAACAATGGATAAAAGACTGTTATACAGTAAAGGATATCTTCACTCAAATTGACCCTTTATATGATATTCTTGGGATGTTGGTGTATTTGAATAAGATACTTACACCCACACCCACACCCTTATAGTAGAAGACGAAGTACCAGCCCTCTTTTTACTATTAGTTTTTTTGTACTGATATGTTCAAAAAGAAAAAAAGTCACATTATTTCTCTTTCTCATAATAAAGAATAGAAAACAAAAGGAAACATATACATACAAAGAGAACTGGTACTTATTTTAACTATTATAAAAATAAAAGAACAATGCTAAACATCTAACATAAATAAATACTAATATTCATAAAAAATAATAATATCAGTGCATGGTAATAAAACTCACATACAAGATGAATTGAAATAGTCTATCATTGATAAGACATAGAAAACCTTAAACAAAACAGAATTTTTATGACATATATTTCCTTCTTTTTGTAATCGGTGACGACATATTTGATGCTGTTTATTTTCTTAGGGTTTTCTTTATTTTTGCTTTTAATAAATATCTAAAGCTAACAAAAACTGTCTCGTCCTCCTGTAAACGATTCTATACTTCTTGATACTTCTTGATACTTCTTTACGTCTTCGTACTTCGATAACGTACAGAAGTATGCCATTTCTCCTTGTAGAAATCATAAACAGAATATACTATTGAGAATTTTTTTTTTCGAGTTGTAAGGTATTTCACAGTACTATTCTAAGCTGTTTATGAAGAAAAAAACAGTATAAAAATTAAAAATCGAAAGAATAGCATTGTGCTTGATTTGTTTTCTTTGTGTCCTGTCGACCCCTTCATTACTTATGCCTAGCAGTATAACCACCATTGAAGCAAATTGAGACTGAGGATTTAATAGTTAAATATCGAAAATCGAACTTCTGTCGAGCTTCAGATTTTGCCCTTACCCTCACTCAGACATTGTGTGCATGCATGTCATAATCTTATGCAGCCTT